CAGCACGGTCTTCCTTGGCGGGCAGTGTAGTGACCCGAGCCGCTCGCCGTGGCTGCAGCATCGGCCGCCCTGTGGAGTCACTGCAGTGTGTGTCTCTCTTAGCTAATTTTCCCCGGTCGTGGACAAGCGCTGAGGCAGTGCAGCGTTGTTTCAGTATGAGCGTTTTAGAAGTCTAGTCGTAACAGTAATTTAATTCCAAACTTACGTGTTAAAGAGAACCGTTCACTAGAGTAATATACACTCAGTAATGCACAGGCACATCGCCACCAATTCTTCCGTGAGGTAGGACATCTGGCTCTTTGCCAGCTACCTCCACCCCCAGGCTGGCCACCGGTGCACCAGCCTGCTAGCGTGGTTTTGTTTTGAAGATTTTTTGCCACAGGGTGTATGTGCTTGCCAGATAGAGACGGTGAGAGGGAAAGTAAGAAATCACCTCCTGGGGGAAGGCCACACCACAGTCCCTTCCCTGTTGTCCTCCTGGGACCTTGGGCATGCACGCACACATGCCCAGCATGATTTTTTCAAGCCGCCGGGCCCAGGACGCCCACAGTGGTAGGCTATGTGGGAGTCCAGCTCCATAACCACCTGCCACCTGCTGATCCCCAAATGGGGCTTTTCAAGCAACAGATGCAAACTAGAAGTATTGAAATAGAATTCTTATTAACATTTATAGTGTATGCAAATGTTTGTCGAGTTAGTAGTTATTTAAAACAAAGTACTTAAAGTTCAGTACTTAGAGCTCATCGTTTATCTGTAGACTCTGCTTCCGTTTCCTCATCCTTATTCCCTTTGTTGTAGACATGATGGGTGACTCCTTCAATTAGAGTCAGCTCTTCTGAAGTCTGTGCGAAGTGTGCAGATTGTACCTGTGCGCAGTATCTTCCTCCGCCCTGCGGCCCCTTCCATGCAAAGTGATTTAAGAAGCCTCAGTTGTGGAACATTATGTTTAATTAAATTATGGGGCCAGTGCCATGGTGGTGAAGGTGGCTGGATCTCACTTGGCTGACTTTGTGGTTTGAGTCCCAGACCCAGTGACTTGAAAAACAGGCCTGGTGTGTGTGCATGTGTACCCCAAATCTCGAGGGGAGAATGGAAGAGGAGGGCTTGTGGTGTGGTTATCCCCCCAGGAAGAGATTGGTCACCCCCCGCCCCTGCGAGTGCACATTCCCAATAGCAAAAACTAAAAAAAAGAAAGAAAGAAATTAAGTGTATGTGTGTGCACACGTGTGAAGAGAGAAGGAAATCGTTCGGCCGCCCCGGGCTTGTAGTAAGTACCTCCTCGGTTTCCCCGTGGTCGTGCCGTCTTCCCTTTCTGTTTAGGACAGTTGTGCTGGTAACTGAGATTCTCACCCTGAGAGCCCTCTCCATCTGGATAAGCCCACTCCCTTTCACCCTTGTAAAGCCTACACCTATTTTTTTAGCAGTCACCCCAGATTTGGGGACTTTTCAGAAGAACTTTTTCTCTGAAATACTTGACTTCATTCTCGGGAGGCCAACAGACTGAGCCTGGATAAGAGAAGCCAAGGGGCAGGGAAGGAGGGTGCCCCAGGGCTGCGCAGGGAGGAGCAGGCGGGAGGGCCTGCGTGGGTTCTCTCTGGGTCCCCTGTTTCTGTAAAACTGGGGGTGCTCAGGTGCTGCAGCCGCGCCATCTGCTCCGTAGGCCCTCGGTGGCCAGTCCGCTCAGGAGCAGGCTGTGCACAGCCCCGTCTGTGAACCCCCTTCCTGCGGGGGAGCAGACCTGCGGGGTCTGAGAGTCAGTGCACTGCCCGTCCACGTGTCATCTCCGGCCACGGCCCGTCCCAGAGCTCAGCCCGGCCCTCCGCGTCGCCAGGCGGAACAAGTTTTCACACGTGCACACAGAGCACGTTGAGGAAAGGCCAGAATTTATATACCCTGTCATGGAGGAAGTAAGGTCATTCTTCACAGGGTAGTAATTTCCTACAATTTACTTGAAAAGCCTTTTTCTTCCCAAATTAGTGTTCTCCGTGAACCACCTTGTCTCCGGGGCTCCACGGTTATTCGGAATTCCTGAGAACTTTGAAACCTTGCAGTTTATAGCTGCGAAAAGGAAGAACAGAAATGAAATGGACAAGTCGAGTTTGCGCGGGCTAACGTCATTTCTGTGCGTGGCACAGTCGCTTCACGCCTCACTTTTGAGTTCCTACGTTGAAAAATATGAAAGAAAGCCAAACTCAATGTCATGCCATTCAGTTTGTCATGTGGAAGCGTGCCATGTAGACTACTAAATGGACAGGCTTCCTGAACAAAACTTCACAAAGCAGGTGCGGCCTGACACACGCCTGGAAACCAGAAGTTCTCAAATTGGAATCCTGGGTTTAGATCTGAACCGGCAGGTGGCCCCGGGCAAGTCATTTAACATCTTCCCTCTTTTTGCCATCTATAAAGGATAAATACTTGTGTCTCGGGGATGTTGAAAGGAATAATTAGTTAGTCTGTAAAGAACTTTGAAGATGAAAAGCACTTTAAAAGTGCTTCTTAATAACATTATTGCTTAGAAAAGAGTGCCACTTTTATGCTAACCACTTTATGCCTCAGATTACATGAAGAAGGCGTGTTCGGTCCATTTCCAGCCCTTAGAAACTCGGGCTAGTCTCATGGTGTGAGCATCAAACACCAGCTTCAGGGTTTCAGAGGCGCATCCCTGTCTTATGGGTTGTTTTGGATCTGTATCGTACTCAGTAATTAGTTACCGGGATCACATTTCTGGGGAAAGAAGACCCTTTCACACAACTCAGCCATTTTTATTTATTTATTCTTAATTCAGTGAAGTTGTTAGTACTTACTTTAAAGAGTACCGTCGGTTTGGGTTGGTTCCCCTGGGGTAGGGAAGGGGGAGTACCCCTTTTACAAGGTGAGAACAGAACAGGGGGAGAACCATCATCCTCTTTCTTCCTGCTCCTCTCCTGTCTCAGTCTCATCGGGGAACTGCAGGTGTGGCTTCAGCCGTTTCTAGAGGGTTAGCGAGAGTCCGCGCATGAGAGGACCCAGGGAAACCGTCCATCCACGCATAAGAGGACTCGGGGAGACTGTTGACGCATACCAAGCATATATATCTTTAGGCTTACTCCCGTTTTTCCTCCTCTAAACCAAGTTGATGAAAAGGGCCAATGTTCTGATTTACAATAAAACATTATTATAATAACATGCAATGACATTTTCTGTAACAGGTACAGAGTTCAAACTTAGCATCTTTATTGGAAAGCAGAGGTGGGAATGTGTTAGTCATACACCTGGTTGGGAACCGCGGCACACAGCAAACCGGCAGAAACACAGATTACACGAGGGTGTTTTCTTTTGGGGGAGGTGGTGCTTTTTTTTTGCTATGGGATACATGTGCTTACCAGAGAAAGAGGGAAACAGGAAACCACCCCTGGGGGGTATGGCCATGCTGCAGTCCCTTCTCCATTCTCCTCTGGGGATTTTGGGCACGCACGCACGTATACCCGGAGTGCTTTTCAAACTGCTGGGTCTGGGACTCATATCACTCATTTGGCCTTGGATCCAAGCACCTCAGTTACCACACCACCGGCTGGCCCTTGTGGTTTTCTCATAATACACATTTTCTATGAAAATTTTTGAAGACTCTTTGTATAACAAGACCCTAGAAAAATTTAGAAAACATCAAGAAATGAAATAGAAATTAAATTGGGCATAAAGTATGTCAGAAAAATCAGTTCAAGGAAGAATTTGAAGGAAAAACGCCTAGAGAGAGACCAGAGCCTGTGGCCGAATCAGGTAGAATTTCCTGGAAATGTAATTGCTTTTGTTCTCAGTGTGGCTAGAGAGACTCACATTTCTAGCTGTTCGTGTGTGGTGCTTCACAAAGTCCACAGAAAAGGAGCTGAGGTATAGGTTTATTTTGGCACTCCACCCATACTACGTTTATAATGCACGTATTTCCCACGAACTTTTTGAAAACCCCCCTTACTACAGGACGGTGGCTTGTGGTCTGGCGAGTTAAGACTGAGCGAATCAAAACTCAGAATTCCAGCTCTTCCGTGTCTTGGCTGGAGACCTGGCCTGCGCCCGTTTCTGTGTGGTGGCGTGGTGTCAGATGACTCAGCACGTCACTGTGCGTGGTGTAGACAGAAGACGCTTTGCAGTCGTAAATGCCTTCACCGGCACAGCTAGTCTTGGGTGTTGGACATGTGCCCCTCCTGCTTCTGCGCTACAGAAATGGGATTTAGCAAGGTAAATAACGACTCTGGTCTTCGGTGCCACCACTGAAAACACCGCGTTGGTGTCGGGGTCTGACGGGGCACCGCGGTGGAGTCGTGACCATCTGTGTGGCGAGCCCCCCTGAGAAGCTGCTGCGTTTGTGGAGCCACCCCCCGGGGCACGCCCAGTGCTCGTGCTCATGGTCCAGGGCTAAAGGGGCCCTGCTCGGGGGCTGTCTCTCTCTCTCTCTCTCTCTCTCTCTCTCTCTCTCTCTCTCTCTCTCTCTCTCTCTCTCTTTGTTCGTGGAAGAAACAAACTTCAAAAACAATTTGGGGATGGAAGAAATAAACTTAAAAGGTAGGGTGTTTTCCTGGCCATTGGTTTTAGTAAATGTGTATTGGTTGTGAGTACTGACTTCTAGAAAGTTTTTTTATTCCTGAGAGAGACACAGAGAGGACGGGCAGGCAGCACACGCAGTAGGGTCCTCATGCCCGGATCCCCCAGCTCAGCCAGCCAGGGTCACGGGCAAATGCATGCGGCACGCGTGCCCCGTGTATACAGGGGAACCTCAGGACGTGAACCCAGCACCGACCCAGGACTTCCCCGTGGCGTCGCCCGGGGAGCACTGTCACACTGCCCCGCTGCAGCCGCGGGACTATTTGAACACGCCCAGTTCTTTTCTCAGTTGTGTTAAAGGAGTGTTGTTTTCAGCGTTTAACATTTGTGTAAATTATTTTTCTTCATGTGATAATAAAACTTGTTTGAAATGGTAACTCGAAGCATAGTGGTAATTAAGGTCTCCTTATTTCAATTTCTTACAGTAAAACGCTGGAAGATCGTTTGAAAATCGAAGCAAAGAACGGGACACTGAGTGTGTCAGACACCACTGTTGGCAGCAAGCAGTTGACGTTCACATTGAAGAGGGTGAGTATTTAACGAGGGCCGCGCTCAGTGCTCCAGAGCAGGCCAGAGGGCCGAGAGCGCTGGCAAGGCCCTGCCGTCGGGTTTTCACCCACAGAGGTTTCAACCAGTCGGCTGGCTGCCGCAGGGGTGGACTGACGGGTGTCAGCGAGGAGACCTCCGGAGCCCCAGGGATGGTGCCTCCTGCGGTGGCCTGGCTTAGGAAGGACATACTCGAGCCGGGCTGGGGGCCTCAGAAAGAGGGCAGGGAGGAATTCGGGAGTAGATACAGGGCCAGATTTCCTTGGGAAGGCGCCCGAAGAGTGATGGGAAGGAGGAGCTGAGCTTCTGAGCACGGGCCATCCCAGGTCCCTCCTTTCACACTGCCCCCTTGCGTGGACTGACGGGTGTCAGAGAGGAGACCTCCGGAGCCCCAGGGATGGTGCCTCCTGCGGTGGCCTGGCTTAGGAAGGACATACTCGAGCCGGGCTGGGGGCCTCAGAAAGAGGGCAGGGAGGAATTCGGGAGTAGATACAGGGCCAGATTTCCTTGGGAAGGCGCCCGAAGAGTGATGGGAAGGAGGAGCTGAGCTTCTGAGCACGGGCCATCCCAGGTCCCTCCTTTCACACTGCCCCCTTGCCCTCGGCCTTCGCTGTAATTTCGGAGTAACAGGAGTACCCACGGGAGGGGCGCAGAGACCTCGTCTCCAGGAGCAGTGACAGGACAGTACCTCCAGGGCCTGGCTGTGCGGCGCCTGATCGTGGTGCCGTGTGTCCTGGGGTGCTCTCCGGCCTCGCGCTCCGGAGTTGGTGTTACCAAGCCCTCGGCTGTGGTGTGAGGGCAACTGCCTGACCTCCGTTGTGGTTCTGTGGGGCGTCCTCCTAAGAGTTCCTGGTGACGTGGTGACACTCGGCCCGGGTGGGCGGGAGGATTCCTGCTCCTGGGAGCAAGCACGTGCTGAGAACAGAGGGGTGCGTCTGGGCCAGGCCGCCGTGCAGCGCGCCCTGTACCTTGAGCTGGCGGGGTTGGTGGCTGTCCACCTGTGTCGTGGCAGCAGGCCTCCGCTCTCGAGGGAGCGGGGTTCTCTGGGCCAGATGGAAGTCCTTGAGCTAGTTCTGGTGGACAATTGCTTGGATCAAGTGTGGTAATGATGTACTTTCGGTACACAGAAGTGTTGCTCTTTCTTTTTTTAATATTTTATTTATTTAATTCCATTTGTTATTATTATCTTTTAATTTGACCAGGCAGAGACAGAGAGTGAGAGGGAGAAAGCGAGAAAGCAAGCTGCTACGTCTGGGACTCAAACCACGATCAGCCATGTGGGAATCCAGTGCCCTCAGCCACCATGCCGCCTGCTGGCCTTGTGTTTTTCTTTAACTTTTTTTTTCTAAGAATTATTTACTTATCATTATTACTTTTTTTTCTTAATTTTTTATAGGGCATGGGTGCTCGTCAGAGGGGAAGAGAGAGAGAGAAAGTGAGAAAGCAAGTCATCAGGTCCAGGACTCAAACCACGGTCACCCACGTGGGAGTCCAACACTTTAACCACCATGCCACTTTCTGGCCCTTGTGTTTTGTTTGTTTGTTTGTTTTAAGACTGTGAAAAAAAAATAATGATTCTGGCTTGAAACAAAAGACTCTTGAACGCCAAGTGGACCTTTTGAAAAGAATGGCGTCTTCTCAAGGCGGCTCTTCGGGAGCCTTCTGGCAAACGCCTCAGCGGTGTTTGTGTGCTGCTTGGAAAACCAGCCTCCTGCAGTGGCCGGCTGGTGTGTCAGGCACTGCTCTTGCCCGGGGGTTCAGAATTTCTGCTTTTACGTGACAGTGAAAGCTGTCCTTTGTCCTGTTGTCCTGACTAGGCGGCATGGGTCAGATCAGGGTCCCGGCGGCCAGACCACGGGCTCGAGCCTGCAGGGTGGCATTCCCCCACTGCAGGCCTGGGAGGGGTGCTGGCTGCATCCCAGGAGTTACCGAAGTCGGGTGCTGTCCTCTTGTCCCCCGACTCATTTCACTTTCTCTCTCAGTCTGAACAGCAGAAGAAGCAGCAGGAAGCCGAGAAGCTGCATCGACAAGAGAGGAAGAAGCTCCGCCGTTCTGCTGGCCACCTGAAGTCCAGGCACAGAAGGGGGCGACCGTTCCACTGAGCGGGGACAGGGAGGGCACGGCTCCCACTCGGGCATGTTGCCCTGGGCGCCAGTCACGTTGGGGACGGGACTTGTCTCTGCGTTTCACGGTTGGATGTCGGAGCCAGGCTGCGAGCAGCTGGCCATCGTGAGCCCCAGGGTGCTCCCAGGAAGTGCGGGGCCTGTGGTGCAGCCTTCCCCCGTTTAATCAGCTCAGCCCGGGGTACGGTCCATAACACGGAAACGTGTCCCGCGGCACGAGCGCCCTCTGTACCTAAGCAAAGGGGTCACATCCCGGGAGCCTCTCCCCAGCAGTGCCTCGCCTGCCGCACCGTGGAACCCCCGGAAACGCCACCCAGCTCGCCCGGGGTCTGCGTGTGTGTCAGGGTGTGCTCTGGGCTTCTGACCTGTTTATGTATTCGTTTGAGATTGTTTTAAAAGACATTTTTATACTAAGTATAACTTAACAGTAGTGACTGGAAGCAAGAATGGCAGCTACCGGCGGTCCTTTCACCTCGGTGCTACATACATAGCCATGGTCGGGCTTGTTTTGTTTTTCCTTCAGTGCAATTAGAGATCATCTTGCTGACAGAAACATTTGTAACAATAAATACTTCCATTCGATGGCTTCTTTCAGAAACACTCATCCCTCGAGGTAATTGGAAAATTAACTTTGGTTTCCTTAGTTCTTCAGGCATTGTTGTGACGTGGCTTCATGCATTTTTAAAGTTTGGTTATGCACAACTGGGGCAGTCACTTTTGGACTGTCCACGGCGGCCCCTAGCCGAAAGGCCGCAAGTCGGAAGGCAGGGCGTGAGGTAGCTCAGTGTGCTGGAGCACGCAGCGACCAGGGACACGGGGCTCCCGCTTACATCTGTCTGTCTCTGTCTCCTCTCTTCCACCTGTTTCAACAGTTCCCTATCTCACCTCTCTCCTTCCTGGCGTGTTTCTCTTCCACCTGTCGTCTCGGCCTCAGGGAGCAGTGTGGCTCAGGGGTCCACGTCCGTGGCCTGAGAGGTTAAAATCTGCCTGTTTCCAAGAAAAAGCGCACGTGGTACGTGGGCTGGCGGTTCTGGAGGGGGAGGACGGGGAGCTGGCTCACAGGGGCCTGAGCAGGAGTTACCATCAGAGGCCCGGCCGGCGGGAGCAGGGTCAGGCAGGCGCGGCTCGCATGCACGTTCACAGCCTGGCACTCTTCGAAGGCGCAGCGAGGAGCAGAACGACGGCCCACACCCTGCTGGGCAGGTGACTGCCCTGGGCCCAAATGCAGCAGCGAGTCACCTGGTGGAAGACGTGATGGTCCCGGGCCCAGGATCGGCAGCCTTCTCATTAGCAGAGGCCTGTGACGTCAGCAGGATTCAGACTGGTGCCATGTATTACCTTAAATGGTCAGAATGAGGGGCCAGTGGGTGGCGTGGTGGTTAAGGCGCTGGACTGCCACATGGCTGACCATGGTTTGAGTCCCTGACCCAGCCACTTGGAAATCATGCCAGATGCGTGTGCATGCGTGCCCAGAATCCCAAGAAGAGAATGGAGAAGGGATTATGGTGTGGCCACCCCACAGGGGGTCATTCTCATTTTCCCTCTCTCTATCTCTGTCTCTCTCCAGGGTGATTACACACACCCTATGGCAAACACCTAAAGAAAAAAAAAGTCATAAGTGGTCAGAATGACCACCCCAGGTAAGACTTTATTGAGGGTTTGACTAAAGCAGAATTCCTGCTCAGGGCCAGGAAAGGTCTCTCCAAGATGAGGCAGGGTGGAGCGCCCAAAATGGCGTTAGCTCCTACTAAAAGGAGCGGGTCTGGCTCAGCCCCCAGGGACTAGTTATGTGTCCGTGTGTCAGCGTTAGGGCTTAGAGGACGATGTGGCGCTACGGTCACTGAGTTTCAGAAGCCAGCCCTCTGGCCACCCTCCCTCCTGCCTTCCCACCCTCCGCTCCTGCCAGAAAGTCAGAATCCAGAATTCCTTTTCCCCAAGGCACATCATGGAAACTAGAACGCCTACCCCAGAGCCAGCCGTAAAACCCAGAGAAGTCAGTCTCTCCCTTCTCCCTTGAAGACCCTCATTCTGCAGGAGTCCTGCCCCTTGCTGGGCCAGGGAGGAAGCGGGCTACTCAGGCCCCGAGGGAGCAGCACAGATCGGCCTTGCTGGGCACCCCAGTCTCTTTTTTTATTTGTAACAGATTTTTGCTATAGGATGTGTGTTTACCAGAGAGAAAGAAAGTGAGAAATGACCTCCGCCCCAGGGGGAATGACCACGCAGCAGTCCGCGCTCCTCCATTCTCACACCCAGCGTAAGTTTCAAACCGCCGGGTCCAGGACTTGAACCATGGTCAGCCATATAGGAGTTCAGCACCTTAACCACTTCCCCACGTGCTGGCCCTCACCCCAGTCTCTTAGCATTAGCTCTGACCCTTTCCATCTCATCTCTACCTGCTGACCGTTCGCTGACCAGAGCATAACAATCGTTTTCCCTGGTCTTTGGGATTTTGTTCTGAAGTCTTCCACGTCAGGCAAAGCTCTGGTTAAATAAACCTGCTACGCATTTCTCTGGATAACCGTCTTCTGTGCGGAAATGTCATCTCTCACCCCCTCGATGGGCGGGAAAAGAATCACATCTTCACCCAGGTCATCAGGGAGAGTTCTCGGCGAGCCGGGCTGCTGCGTGCCAGCATCCTCGGGTGGCCTCGGGCCCTCTGCCGACTGCCTCCTTCCCGTTCAGCCTCTCCCCACCTGTTCTTAGGCACCTCTTCCCCCAGGAGGGCTTCTGCTTCCTGCGGCTTCCCTTCTCCATTCCCGGGGATGGGAGTTTGGAAGTGAGCAAGGACGCTGTGGCCGAGGTTTTCGGGCCAGGGTGTGGTGCTCAGCCTATCACCTCCACCCCTGCATGAGGTCGGTCTCCTCCAGCCCCGCACCTGGCTTTGCAGGCCCCTCTTCTTCCTCCCTGAGGGGACCCCTTGTTCTGTGGGGAGCCCGTATGCCACTGTACTATATTCCATCGGCATGCTGCGGCTGGGCAGGGGAGCCTGGCTCTGACTCGAGGCTCCTAGGAGGCCAGGCCAGCAGTGGGCAGGTTCTATGGGGCGCAGCAGGGCCAGGCTGCCCAGGGCTGACCGCCAGCCTCTGCGAGTCTTGTTTCCTTCTGTCCTTTCAGCCTGGCACTGACCCTGGGCCAGGACCTGCTGCTCCAGGTACAGTGTGAGGCTCAGATGGGCTCCATGAAGTCGCTTCCTCTCCAGCCCTGGCTCCCCTGTGGGGCTGCACACGCACCTCTGAGCCCGACACGTTCTTGAATAGAGAGGGTGGGCAGGTCCAGGGGTGCCCTCGGCTTTGGTCCCAGGGCTTTCTGAGGGTAGATGAAGGGACTGACTGCATCTCAGAAACAGGCACTCGGAAAACCTGCTGGCTGGGTGGCCACGCGGACACTCCTGCTCCCCGGTGATCTCTCTCCTGTTGCCCAGGTCTCTGCCCATCTGTCCCTTACAGCCCGCCGTGCGGTCTCAGCTCCCCTGCTCGTCCTGGTTGAGATTCCCTCTACCCAGAACACTGCCCTGCCATCTGGGGGCACTCTCGGCCCCATCGGCCCGCCTTCCTGAATGGCACCCCCACTGCCAGCGCGCCCTGCCCAGGTGGCAGCTGGCTTCGGGTCCATCTGGAGCTAACAGTGCTGCAGGCTGTCACCGTGTGCTGCGGGAAGGAGCGGGTGAGCACCCACGTACCCGTGCCAGCCCGGCCTTGGCAGCTCCCCCGGGGCCTCCCTGCCCCCTACTTTTTTTTTTGAGAGGTTTTTGCTACAGGGCGTGTGCATTCGCCGGAAAGACAGAGACAGGAAGTGAGAAATCGGGATGGTCACGCCGCAATCCCTCCTTCTCCATTCTCCTCTTGGGATCTTGGGCAACATGCACACGCGCCCAGTGTGAGTTTAAGCCACCGGGTCCAAGACTCAAACCGCGGTCGACTACATGGGAGTCCGGCGACATAGCCGTTAACTGCTGGTCTCTCCGGACCCCCTGCTTTGACACTTTTTATTCCAGACTCCATATTGCTCCATCCATCAGTATTCAGAGTGGTTTTCAAATACTTCTCCATGCTTTGAACTTTCTTTTTTTTTCCTTTTAATTGCCAGGTGGCAAGTGTGCACAACAGAGGCAGAGACAGCACCTCCCCGGGGGCCTGGCCATCCACAGCCCTTCCCCTTCACCCCTCCACCCCATCAGGACGTGTGCCCTGTTTACCGTGGGTCCCCTGCGTCCCCCACTCCCACCCCAGACTAGACTGTGTCACTCAGTGAACGCCCGCCATCCAGAGCCAGGCCCGGCACGTGGTAGCTGCTCACAGAGGTACCCTGTGAATTACCGGGGCCAGTTAGATGAGGACTGAGGTGAGCTTCGGATTCCATGCCGGGGTGATAGTCTTACCCGTCTGCGTGGGGCGTGGGATGCTGGGAAACCTACCCGGGGCGGCTCAGGAGAGAATGGGGGAAGGCATTGGAGTAGTGGCTCTGTGTCAGGAGGACATTTTGGATACAGGGAAGCAGAGAACAGGACACGTGAGATCCAGACGGGACTTCCCTTAAGATGGGAGCAGTCGCAGCCTGGACAGGTGCCCTCGGAGGACCGCAATGGAAAGGGAATGAGGATGCCAGACAGGACGGTCTGGGCGGGCAGAGGCAGGCGCGGTGGAAGCAGCTCGGCTGGGGGATTCTTAACTGGAAGACTCAGCCCCGGGCACCGTGTAGATGCCCGCCACGGCTGCGGCATCCAGAAGCCTGACTGGGCCGGAGAGTCCTCACCCAGCCTCCCACACGGCTGTTGGCGGGGCCTTCGTTCCTTGCCATGTGGCCCTCTCCTGGGCTGCCTGAGTGGTCAGACCACGGCCCCTGATTCCCATTTCCCCGAGAAGCAATCCAAGGGAGTGAGAGGGACAGAGCTGGAAGCCACCTGTGTCAAGGACTGTGTCCCTCTCAGCCCGCGACAGCGAGGGTGTCACTGAGTACATGCGGCCCACTGTCGGGAAGAGGAACTGGGCGCCGTCCTTCGAGAACTGTCAGGGTAGCCAGATAGGGTACAGGACACCTGCTTACACTCAGGAACTAGCTGTGGGGACCAGCAGATGGCATAGTACTTACGTCGCTGGACCCCCATGTAGCTATCCACAGTTCAAGTCCCAGGCCTGGAGGCTTGAAACTCATGCCAGGTGCATGTACATGCCCAAAATCTCAACAAGAGAATGGAGGAGAAGGAATCGCAGCGTGGCCATCTCCCCAGGGTGATTTCTCGCTTTTTGTCTCTCTGATAAGCACACTCACCCTAATAGCAAAAAACTCAAGAAACAAACAAAAACCAGTCATGGGCTACCTGAAATTCAGAGAAGGGAGAGCCTAGACCCACGCAGCTCGGAGGTGGGGAGGTGGACAGGTGAGGGGGGCAGGTGGGCCTCCCTTCCAGTGTCTCTGCCTCTCCCTGAAGGAAGGAGCCAGGCCACAGGCCAGGTCGCCGCTGTCCCCGTGCACCCCACACTTCCGCTCTGTGCACCAAGCATGCACCTTATCCGGGGTCTGCATTCCGGATGAATGACCGCCACCGCGTGACTGTCCTTGGGGCCGCCCCACTGCCTCCTTAGAGGGATAGCAAGGTGA